TCTGCAAAACCAGCAGCAGGCGAGCTTAGCGTTTCCTTGCTGCTTCCGGTATTTTTATGGCCGACTGTCTCCGGCACCTCCCTGCTGAGCTCAGGTGCTGCGCCCGCCCGCCAGAGCCCAGAGGCTGCCAAGCGGTTCCGAGCGCTCCTTCCCTGCCGGTCCTTCCTCACTCTCTTCTCCTGCTGGGCCTGGCCGAGGCCCTACAACTGCTGGCCACAGTGGTGACAGGGACACCTTATCTCACTCCCTAGGCTAACTTCCCTACTAGTTAAAATGAGTGTCCGTGCCTTTTCGTATCGCCAGGGCCAGGGAGGGGGCCCGGGGTATGGTCACACACAGCCTCTGGTTGCCACTCCTCCTCTGCCTGGGGACCTGGGCGTGCTTGCACACGTGCCTGGTGTGGTTTTCAAGCCGCTGGGGTGGAATGCAGTTGACCACGTAGGGCAGGCTCCCTGCACTCGGTCTAAGGGCCTGGCCCACTGTTCTTTTAAATGTACCTTTATCCAGAAATTTCTCTTAGATTATTTTCTTTTTTTTGGAGAGGTTTTCGCTATAGGGCGCGTGCGCTCGCCAGACAGAGAGAGAGACAGAGACAGAAAGCGAGAAATCACCCCCCAGGGGGGATGGCCACGCCGCAATCCCTTCTCCTCCATTCTCCTCTCGGGATCTTGGGCACGCATGCACACGCGCCCGGCATGGGTTTTAAGCCACCGGGTCCGGGATGCGAACCACGGTCAACTACACGGGAGTCCAGTGACACAGCCATTATGCTAACTGCTGGTTCCCATCTTAGATTCTTGATTTCGTAAGAGTTTTCATCAGAGGTAGGTGTTAAACTGCATCGGATGTTTCCTGCAGGTAAATTTTCTGTTTCATTTATTAATGTAGTGAAATATGACGATAGGGCTTTTTTAATTGCCAGAGGGCACGTGCGCTCACCAGAGTTGGAGGGAGAAGGCAAAAGGGCCCGACAGCGTGGTCATGGTGTGGGCCCTCCCCCGTGTCTCCACCCTGCCAGGATTCTAGGCACACACGCACACACACCTGGCATGTTTCCAAGCTGCCAGAGCTGGGGTTCCAGTGACTTGGCCGTGTGGGATTAATGGAGTAAACCTCGCCCGCTAGTGACGTCCCAGGTACACACTTATCCAGCCTCCTTTGCGGCCGTGCGGCGCGGGGCTCTCGGCTGCGTTCGTGTTAGACGGGCGTGTCGTGTCAGTGTGCACCGGTCTTATCTTGTTGAGGATTCGAGATTCCTTTACCCCATGAAATAAACCGGGTAGCTTTCACTACTTTCCTACTTTATGAAATAATTTAAATAAGAAAGGAATTGGCTGCTCCTTGAGATGTCCGTTTCCTTAGGAGTTCATGAGCCACCTGTCAAGCCATGTGGGCCAGGGGTCCATTGGGGAGGGAGAGTCCTGTGACATTTCAGCTGCCTTCTGGCATGAGTGTGCCGATTTGGGGGTGCCCCTCTCGCTCTCAGGTTCAGGGTCCTTCCTTCACTGGTGAGTGGTCCTTTTTTAAAGACATTTTTGCTATAAGGCGCTACGGTCCTTTCTCCTCCATTCTCAGGATTCTGGACATGCGGAGTCCAGGACTCGAACCGCTGTTGACCATGTGGGAGTCCAGCACCCTAACCACTACGGAAGTGCTGGCCCCGACCAGTCAATGGTCTTTATAACGCTCCTGTATTTTAAATTGTATTCCTTTTTTTCATGAGAGAGAGAGGCAACTCACGGAGTCTCACGTGCCAGGACCCCAGCCTCCCAGCCGCCGGAACCTCAAGCACGTGCAGACGCCCTGTTGTGCTCAGGTCAGCCACGCCCCGACCCAGGCCTGCCACAGCGCTGCAGGGTGCCACCGCGGTGCCCTGCCACCGGCCGCGCAGCCGGACCTCGGTCACACTCGTGTTACCCCGTACGTGGCTTGAGCGGCTCCCTGCTGGAGTGCCGGGGGATTCTCGGTTTCTTGACACTCGCCTGAACTCATTTTCTCAGACAGCGGGGTGGGCTCTTCGGGGCTGCCACTTGGTTCTCATTCTCAGGGTCACATCTCACACTCGTTCCGGCCCCTGAGGTGTCCCGCCGCTGCCTTCCCAGCCCTTCCCCCCATGCTCCCTGGGGAGCGTGTTTAGGGCCATCCCGCCGTCCCCCACTGCAAATGCAGGGCTTCGGCACGTGGTGATTGTGCTGGGACCAAGGGTCACTCGGCTCCAGCTGCTTGCCGTGTGGGCGAGCCGAGGCCCGCTCTGGGCCCGCTCTGGGCCCGCTCCGCACGCGCTCTGAGTGCTGCGAAGGAAAGCGGTTGTCTGCCTCTTAGTTCATCACGGTAGCACATGTGGGGGCAGCGGGAGAGCGGCAGTCCTCCCCCGGCCCTCCCCCGACGGGGCCTGGGGCCTGGGGCCTGGCGAGGCAGTGCCTGGCACGTGCCGGGCGGGCTGCAGTGGCCGCGTGGGATCCCCTGCTCGAGCAGCGCATCACCGCGGCGCCAAGCAGCCAGCTGTGAGTCTCTGTTTTTTAAAAAAGGCTTTTTGTCTTGATTTTTAAAAATCAAACCTAAGAATATTTTGTCTTTGTTAGTGAGTTTTAACCCATCTGTATCTACTGAGTTCTTATCTATCAGGTTGTCAGGAAAGTCAGGACCTATTTTTCCAGAGAGAGGTCTTGTTTGTTTTTCTATAGGGCCCATGTGCTTGCTGGAGACACTGAGATGCAGAGACAGACGGCAAGAAGCCACCCCGAGAGGGGATGGTTACGCCACAGTCCTCCTCCTTCATGCTCCTCTTGGGACTTGGGGCACACGTGCACACATGTCTGCTGGGTCTGAAGCCGCCAAGCCAGGACTCGAACTGTGGTCAACTACATGGGAGTTCAGCGACGTAACCACTGTGCCATCTGCTAGTCCCCATGACGCATCTTACTACACAAAAACTGTGTCACGACTTTCTCGACAACCCAGTATTTGCTGTGGTTTGGGTAAGTTTGTCCCCCAAAGGTTCACGTGCTGGGAGCTTGGCCCCAGTGTAATGGCTTTGGGGACATCCTCCAATTGCTAGGGGTGGGAGGGACACAGAAAGACAGTGGGAATCCCGTCTCTTCTCTGTCTGCACCTGCCCACTGTCCTCTGCTCTGTCAGCCTCATAATGTGGCACCAGCTGTGGCCCGACTCCAGCCCCATGGCCGGACTTCCCAGCCGCCAGGACCGTGAGCCACACAAACCTCTGCTCCTTATCCGTCATCCAGTCTCAGGCGTAAGGGGCCTCGGTCCCTCAGACACTGCCGAGCGTACCCCCGTGCCATCGCGCACCCGTGCGTCACGCCTCCTCACTCCTGCTCTGCGCTCGTCTTCTGCTGCTTCAGGAGTTTCGCATCTGACGCTGCCCTGCGATGGCTCCCTGCCTCGCACTCGCGTCCTCACTGCAGGCACGTTCCATGCCGTCTGCCCTGCCCCTCCCGCCTGCGGTGACAGTGACGGGGAGCTTGGGTGACCGCGGTGGTCTGTGCCCGTCTTGTCTCTCTGTCCTTCTTGCAGCGTCTTGGTCCGTCTCTCCTTCCTTCCACACACCCTCGCGGAGCGTGGACCCTCACGTAGACGCAGGCTGTGCGTTGTTCTGACGCCCTCGTGCCCCGTGGGTATTGGGGCTGTCTGCTGCAGCTCGCGGTGAAGTGGGGGCTTTGTGGCAGCTCGGCCTCACCCAGTTCTGCACTTTCTCTCCCACTAGGGGGCCTGTGCCCAGTAAGTATGGCAGCCAGAGGAGTGTGCACACTCACACAGACACGCCACGCACCCACTCACGCCGGCCAAGGGGCAAGGCTCCTGCACCCCGTCGTGTTCCCAGCTCCTTTCTGTTTAAAAAATTTATTTATTCACTTACTCATTTTAATTAGACCAGAAATGGACAGAGTGAGAGGGAAAGTGAGAAAGCAAGCCGCCCTGTCTGGGACTCAGACTGCGGTCGGCCATGTGGGAGTCCGGCGCCTTCCACCACGCCACCTGCCCCTCCGCAGTCCCTTCCTGGGCTCACTCCCGGACACACTAAATGTGCTTCGTCACAGACCAGGGATGGCTGCTGTCCTAGTGACTGCACGGTCTGCAGCTGGGCGGGGGCGGGGCATCGTGCACAGCTCCCTGGCCGGAGTCACGGGTGCCACGGCGTGAAACGGAGAGCTGGGAGCAGCTGGGTCCTCCACGCTCCCCCACAGGTTGGTCACTTAGGGTTCTGTTTTAGGCCCTATCCATGGCCGCACTGACCTCCCCAAGGAGGACTAGGGACCCCTTCAGATGAGCAGGAACCCCGACTATGTGCAGAAGGGCCCACGGTCACGGGCGGGGTGGGGCGATGCCGAGTCCCGCAGACCGCCAGCCATAGTGCGGTGGCGCACCCACTCACGCCGGCCAAGGGGCAAGGCTCCTGCACCCCGTCGTGTTCCCAGCTCCTTTCTGTTTAAAAAATTTATTTATTCACTTACTCATTTTAATTAGACCAGAAATGGACAGAGTGAGAGGGAAAGTGAGAAAGCAAGCCGCCCTGTCTGGGACTCAGACTGCGGTCGGCCATGTGGGAGTCCGGCGCCTTCCACCACGCCACCTGCCCCTCCGCAGTCCCTTCCTGGGCTCACTCCCGGACACACTAAATGTGCTTCGTCACAGACCAGGGATGGCTGCTGTCCTAGTGACTGCACGGTCTGCAGCTGGGCGGGGGCGGGGCATCGTGCACAGCTCCCTGGCCGGAGTCACGGGTGCCACGGCGTGAAACGGAGAGCTGGGAGCAGCTGGGTCCTCCACGCTCCCCCACAGGTTGGTCACTTAGGGTTCTGTTTTAGGCCCTATCCATGGCCGCACTGACCTCCCCAAGGAGGACTAGGGACCCCTTCAGATGAGCAGGAACCCCGACTATGTGCAGAAGGGCCCACGGTCACGGGCGGGGTGGGGCGATGCCGAGTCCCGCAGACCGCCAGCCATGGTGCGGTGGCTCTCCATCTCTGCATGTGCCCCAGGTGCCCGTCACGGATGTGGCCTGGCGGAGACGATGGGGCTCGGGCTTCTGCCTGGAACGTGAGAGCAGCTTGCTGCTCCGGCCTCCTGCACCCCTGACCAGCGTGGACAGAACAAGGTCCGCCTCTCCTAGGAACAGTCGTGTCTGCGACGGACTTCCCCGGGAGAGGCGTCAGGCATGCCGCGGCACAGCCCAGAGCTGAGGGCAGCCGGGCAGGAGGGAGAGCTGGGTGGGCTGACCCTGACTCTGTCTGCTCCAGGCCTCCTGGACCCGAGGCCTGATCCCGTCCCTTGAGGCACCTTGACGCACGGGGCACTGGCTGGGCCCACCCCTCCCCAGGGCTCCTCCTCGCCCGCCCTGCATTCCAGCCGCTGCCACGTGCGGTGGGGCCCCAGCAGGACAGCGGTGTGCAGAGACTTCCGGAGGGCCACGAGCCCCAGCCACATGGCAGGGTCCATGGGAGCCTGCACCTGCACGTGTCCCAGGCCCCCTCGGGGTGCTGGCACCAGCCCTGGCAGTGCCACCCAGCATGCCGCAGGCCTGGCATCCCTTTGCCTCTGCTTAGGGGACTGAGAGTAACCAGAGGGGTCCAAAGGTCACCACTGGAGAGTGACTGGAGGGCCCCGCATCTGCAGGAGAAGGGGCAGCAGGAGGCCACGCGTACTGCATGAGGGTGGGCCTGACCCTGGCTGAGGGCGGCTCTCCCAGAGGGGCCGTGCCTGCAGGCAAAAGGACAGTGTTGCTTCACCCCCGGCTGTCGTCTGGCCAAGGCGGACAGAGAGCAGCCGAGATGCCGCCCGAGCCCACCTGGGGCTGGGGCTGGGGCTAGGGCTGGGCTGGGGGGCCCTTCCCGAAGCCCGTGTTCATGGGTTATACCCGGAGCCCTGGTCTGCCTGCCCGGGCTCTTCCCTGCTGTCCCCAGGGGTGCCTGACAGAGGCCATGGCCTATCTGTGCACAACCCTCCACAGGGTCCTCCGCAGGGTCCTCCTCGGGTTGTGGGCTGCGTTGGCTCCGGGACATGAAACCAGCTTGCAGGCTCCCAGAACCACCAGCAGTCACTGCCACAGCCTGCCCGGCCTCTGTGGGTCCTGGGCCTCCTCAGTTGGTGCCTCTGCCCTCGAGGCAGTGAGAGGGCAGCCAGGGCCCTCCAGCTCCCACCGCCCTGAACTGCCCTGCTGTCCTCCACACAGCCTGTCCTGCTCCTCCCTACCCTAGAGCCATGTCCGGGAAGGCGCATCCGAGGGTGGACAGGACCCGCCTCTCTTCAAAGCCTGTGCCCACGGAGAGTGGGCCATCTCAGCCAGTCACCAGCCCAAAAGGTTGCAGGTGACATTTGCTTGGGGTCTCCCAGATAGCCAGGAGCAGCCACTGGTCCTGGGTTTCCCGACCCCACTCCCAGGAGCCAGGTGACAGGAAAGGCCCCCATGCTTACAGAGCCACCGTCCCCCACAGGCCCCTCCACCAGGTGGACTGCTCTCCCCAGCAGGTTCTTCTAGGGCCAGATGGCAGAAGCCCAGGGGCCAAGGAGATGGGGTCCTCCCTGCAGCCCCACCCTGTCCCACTCCAGCCCAGCCAAGTGGTCCTCCTGCCCAGTTACACAGCCAGAGCCTGGGGGAGCTTGAGCCAGGAGGGGCCTGGGGGCCCTTGTACCTAGTCAATGCCAGCAAGGCCTTAGCTGTCACACAGAACTTTCCAGAACCTGTGCTGGGCCACGGCCAGAGCAGACCGAGCTGCCGCAGGAGGATAGGCCCTGATCCTGGTGAGGCGTGTGTCCAGATAGTCCCTCGGGCCTACAGGGAGCACAGCACAGAGCCGTCGGCGGGCTTGGCGGAGCAGAGAGGGGAGGTGGGGCCGGTGCACCGAGGACAGGCCACTGCTGTCTCCGTGAGCAGCGAGTTCGGGGCCAAGTCGGGGG